TTACAATTTACCGATGTTTTAAACGTCAGTATTATATAGCGGTGGTGTTGGTAAACTTAGTAAACAGTGAGACGTTACAATTTACCGATGTTTTAAACGTCAGTATTATATAGCGGTGGTGTTGGTAAACTTAGTAAACAGTGAGACGTTACAATTTCCCGAAATTTTAAACGCGAATATTATATAGCGGTGGTGTTTGTAAACTTAGTAAACAGTGAGACGTTACAATTTCCCGAAATTTTAAACGCGAATATTATATAGCGGTGGTGTTTGTAAACTTAGTAAACAGTGAGACGTTACAATTAACCGATGTTTTAGACGTTGGTCTTGGTAAACTTAGTAAACAGTGAGACGTTACAATTAACCGATGTTTTAGACGATGGTCTTGGTAAACTTAGTAAACAGCGTGGTAGGTAGTGCAGTATCGCAACAAAACTAATGCCGGGTTGTGAATTTCGGAGATCGTCTTAGAATCAAATTCTTTAATAAAAAAACGTTAATTGATGTTTATTAATTGTTTGCTGAAAAATTAACCTTCATGATCAGGTGGCGACACAACTCAAGGATAGTAAACTTTGAAATTCACTGTAGACTTTAGAAGATGAACGAAGTAGGTTGAAACTAACGAAATAATTTATACTACTGGTTGTGGTTTGGTTTCCATAAATGGTACTTCACTCATTTACTTTATTTTAAAACAATTGTTTAATGACAAAATATTTCAAATGTATGTATAAGGACGCCATAGCCCTTAATGACTTGTGTAGATCAACGTAGTTTTCATTTATATACTTATTTAGGTACATTTTGTACTTACAAATGACAAAAAAAAAAATGAATTGTATCTTCGGTTAGCAAAAAATACTTCTGAAATAGGTTTGTTCTAGAATAAGCCAGGTTTTAAGAACTTGAACACGTCGATTATAAACTATAAAATGTATTACGATGACTACAGAGTTTGCACAAAAACACTTAACGTACGCGCCATCAAATGAAAATAGAATAAGTCATTTCAAAAGATGAATTCTTTGACGTATATGGTGTTAAAGAGGAATTTCGCAGTTTTTGCTGTTCTTTTAGAAACTTTTCGTTTTCTTTTTAATGGTATAAGAAAAAGCAAAAAAGAGAAAAACTTACACGAGTCTGAGAAAAAATACTTCTGAAAGAGGATGATAAGCACCGTTAATATCTTCGTTTTGTTGTTCATTATATGAGCAGCTTACCTAGTGCCTCCTGATAATTTGCGTGCCGCTTTTCTAACTTAAAAAATGTTTTTCCATTAGATGTTCGTTGTTTTAACAGAAGTTCCAAGAAGCTATACGTAATAAGATCATTAATACTCGGGCAACATTCAACATGGAAGTTTTAATAAGATCATTAACACTTGGGCAACATTGAACATGAAAGTTTAACAAAGTTGTGAAGCTTAATCTCTTACAAAGAACTGTAGACTTCTTAATAATAATAAAAAAAACATAAGCATACACACTGAAGCTTTTGTTACATATTTTATATTATAGATGGGAAGGATACATCACAACGGA